ATGGTTTTGTGTTGCATGCTGTAATTCCAGCCCTTCATGGCTCGCCATCCGTTATGTTCATGGACGTTCTGGTTCTACGGTCGAATACACAATGGTTTGATCCACGTGTAGCAGTTTTAAATCACGTGTCAGTTTTAACGTGCTCCGGCCGAACGGAGCGCGCGGCGCCCGTCCGCGGTCACCGCTCAGCTCAGTCTGCCGCGGGCGGCGGCAGAAGTCAGCCTGTCACAACAGCGCCCTCGGGCGGTACATGGCGCACTCGTGCACAGTGTCGCCCGGCGATGCACTATACAGTGAACGCCCGTTTGGTGTGGGTAACGGAGGTAATGGAAAGTTACCGCGAGTTACCACCTCCCAATGTCACCGCCCAATCAGGGATGAATGCCGTACTGCAGTACTTGCGTTGTGGAAGTGTTTTGGTAAAGATGATGCGCCGAGGTCGACCATGCGAGTTCAGGATTTGTTGGACAGATGAGGAGCGCCCACTGGATGCACCTTGCAAGGTGCAACCTGAATTAAAAAACTTGCTGGCAGCCCAGTTCCCGTAAATTCCGTACCACAAAGTACTTCTCAGACGTATGCTATATTGAAATCGTGGCAATGTGGTTTCGTCGGTGTGTGGTGTATTCTACATGTAGACTGAGAGAAGCTCTTTAAGGTCACTTGGCACCTGAGGTGCATTTTATACCAGCTCAAAGGCAACGAACTTTGCTAGCGGTTACAAGTAACTATCACACTATGAACATATGGCCTGCAGTGGACAATGGATGGTGAGGAAGTCTGGAATTATGAAATGCCGGTACTTGGGCAGAATGCCAGACCAACAGGACGGTGATTGGGGCCTGAGAAAAGAGGGAATGGAGAACAGTTAGTAAGCAATCAAATGCTGTTAGCCTCAACCCATTTCTGTAGTGTTGAACAAGTCAGCAGTGATATGATTTTTCACCTCCTTGTAAATAGCGGTGTCACCCCTCCACGCTAGAGAAAAACAATGCCAGGACACTGTGCGCGAAGCAGCAGCCCCGAATGCGTGACGAAGGAGTTCGGCGAGTGTTTGACCTGTTCCCCATACGCACGTGGAATCGCCTGGCTGGTCATGTGGGAAGTTAGCTGTATTTTACCTTTCCTTTTCCGAAGTCGTGGACGCCATCAGCGGTGGCACCACGCCACCATATTGCCTGCTAGCATCGCCTGGCCGGGGATAATATCAAAGTTTGTACCTGCAGCACACTCTAGATGGATTCGGATCGGTATCGAGACGCCACCAATCGCTGGTTATGCCGCGGGTTTCGATTCGTCCGGGACTCCGGAAATGGTCCCCACACAGCGTGTTGCGAAATCTTGGCCACCGTTGGAAGGATGGACACTGGCTGATAGGTGCCTGAGTCCTCGGCGTTAATGGATAAAAACGAAGCGACGTCGCGGGTTATCACTACATGGAAGCGATTCGTCGTCGTAGGCGCTTTTCGACGCAATCAACCACCGAGGGTGTGCGGCATCGTTTCTCAACCTGGCAGAAAGGCAGGGCGCTGCGGGGAATTGAACCCCGTACTTGACCATCTTAAAGCGAGTGTTCCTCATTTGAAGATATTGAAGCAAACATCGGATATAATGAAATAAGTTCACTTATAACTATTGGTATTCTTCTAAGTGGAAAAGACTGCATTAGACAGCAAAGTTTCGCTGGGAGGTAAATATGTTCCTCAATAGCCAATGTCTGAAGAGTTCCAACATATCTCCGTGCTTTCGGTCTAGGAAAAGTAAACTGAACCATTGCAAATTTAACAGCGCTGGTGGTTTTTCGATGCATTTATTTAACGTATGGTTGATTCAGTTTGTTGTCTTCAGATTACAAACAGAACTGCCTTTTTCTGTGGCTCCTGGCCTTCATTTCAGTTAAAAAGATGAGACAATTATCTAACGAAGAAAATTGCGCACTTCTAACCAAGTGGGTCTCATCCGTTTGTTTTTAAAGCGGGAGGCTTTCGTCAGTAGGGAACTTTGTTACCCGCGAGCCTCCCCCACCCCCTTACCAAGACTGGCTGCGCCCCTGCTTGTCGGCCTGTTGGCACGGTGATCCAGGTAACGGGAAGGCATATGTGCTTGTCGGCCTGTTGTCACGGTGATCCAGGTAACGGGAAGGCATATGTGCTTGTCGGCCTGTTGGCACGGTGATCCAGGTAACGGGAAGGCATATGTGCTTGTCGGCCTGTTGGCACGGTGATCCAGGTAACGGGAAGGCATATGTGCTTGTCGGCCTGTTGGCACGGTGATCCAGGTAACGGGAAGGCATATGTGCTTGTCGGCCTGTTGTCACGGTGATCCAGGTAACGGGAAGGCATATGTGCTTGTCGGCCTGTTGTCACGGTGATCCAGGTAACGGGAAGGCATATGTGCTTGTCGGCCTGTTGGCACGGTGATCCAGGTAACGGGAAGGCATATGTGCTTGTCGGCCTGTTGGCACGGTGATCCAGGTAACGGGAAGGCATATGTGCTTGTCGGCCTGTTGGCACGGTGATCCAGGTAACGGGGAGGCATATGGGACTTCTGAACTGCTGGCCGCGAAGCCGCTCAGGCCAGCGCCGACATCCCGGCCTCTCCGGCCGACGGCACGCGCTGACGCAGTGTCGCGTGTCGGGTGACGCCACAGTCGAGCCCAGCGACTGTGTAGGGCTCGACTGTGACTTTATTCCCATGCAATATTATTATACTCGACTAGAGCGTCTTATAGGTTAAGGTCTTATAGGTTATAGGTTAAGCCCCCGGCATTCAGCAGAGCAGGATATCATCATGCCCGTTCCGAGGGCGAAGTTCATGCTGGTAAGTTGCACAGTGCATTGTGGTCAGTTTCCAGTTCTTTAGCAGCACAGATACTCTGAGGTCCAGTCCAGACCCTCATCCACAGCCCATATTTACCTCGCGCTGGATGCCAAAAAAAAAACAGGTGCATTTGTTGGTATTTATTGTTGAACTCTGACGTGATTCAGCAGTAGCGCGGTTACGCCCGCCGAGAACTGCCTGTGTACAAGTAACACAATATCATTATTGCTAGAGCGCACTTTCGCCAAATCATAGACAACATCAACATGCCTTTCATCATCATGAACCGGGACAAGGAATCTCGCACATCTCATCACACAATAAACACAAGCCATAATTCGTTTTGCGTAACCGTGTGAGGAGGTTAGCTACCGGCCAAGCGGCCCCAGGTTTCGTTTTTCGTTTGGTTTCGTTTCGTTTCCCCCGCCAGCATGTCACCAGAACACTGGGAATGCACTCAGTTGAGCTAAACCACAGGCAGGAAACTGGTGAAACTGCAAAATCTCCAAATAAACATGGCGTGATCTTACACGACACCAGGAGCAGATCGGTGCGGTCAGTCTCACACGACACATGACTACAACAATCCAGCTTAAACTGGCTTGTCATGACAAAATTGGCACAAACGTGCAACACGCATTACAGAAGCTGACCTTTTCTACGACGAACGTAACCCTCAAATTAAATGCGCCGCAATCTCCAACGTCCATATTAGCACGATAACAGCAGAGCAGCGACAACAAATCCCGAACGTAAAGCTGGCGGCCGTGGGGCAAGCATAAAACCTATAAGACCCTCAATATCTTCTGCACGATTCTATCCGCAAGCATGCTGCTTGCGGGTATGAAGGCGTTTAACGAGATCCCCACGAGAAAGACAGCATCCCAGCGCATTCGTAGTCCAAATAACCAAACACTTCCTTGAAGGTGTAAATATTCCATGAATACACCGACCAATACAAAATACACTCAAGGGCATTCCATGTTTGATATATATATATATATATATATATATATATATATATATATGCACGTATGCCCGGGTACTCTTCGAGTGCCGGTATGGTATCCTTCCACCTCACAAACCATCCATGACCTTTATTATTTATGACCTGACCTGAAGACCTGAAGATTTATGCCGAGCCTTTTGGATGGACGGATCTCTGGGATCAAATCTCACACTAAGCAGTGCCTGATAGGTGAGCCCTCACCCCTGTCATCCGATCTTGCAATTCGAAATCAACAGCAGAATATAATGGCGAAAGTGAGACGTGCCGCATTGTTCAGCACGGAACAGACGCTCTGTTCCAAACATTGCGACGCGAAAGGCGTGCTGCAACGCTCACGTGTTTGTTGTGATCGCCACGTGATCGTCTGAAACGCCAAATGCCCCATGACGTTAACTACCAGCGCGGGCGCTGCCACCGGCCGCAGGCCATGCCGTCGAGGACAAATATCGAGCGCCTCACGACATTCGAACTCATCCCACCACAAATGGATGAATCAGAAGGCACGCGCTCTTACCAACCTAGCTATCAGAACTGACAAATACTAATACCCTACACAAAAATAATGAGCTGACTAAGTCCCGTGATGGCTGTAAGCCGGCAAATCTAGCAGCCATGATTAGACACCCACATATATATATGTCTATATATATATACATATATATATATATATATATATATATATATATATATATCAATCCGTCCCACACAAAACCCTCACTGGCAACACAATTCGGCGAGCAACGGCATGATAATGGAACTCATCCCAGCCCGAGTCAATGCAACTGAAGACGCCCCACAGGACATGCGCTTCGGCCCGCACATGCTAGCCGACTCACAACCTCCAGTAGCACCGCAATGATTGGCAGCGGCCGCACCCGGCAGCGTCAGGGCCGGCCGCGAGTTTGGGGGTTGAGACACGGCGAGTTGCGCTGTTCCGCTCCGTTGCTAACGGAGGACGCCTCCTCCCCGCTCGGCGCGTCCCCACGCGGCGAGCACGCGAGCCGACCGACCTCCGCAGCCGCCATGTCCGCGTCCGGGCCGACTCCCGCCGCGGCCCGACCCGCCTGACTGCCGGCCGCCCGGCCGTCCGCAGCGGCCACGCCCCGCCCGCGACCGCCCGCCGCCGCCGCCACTACAACAGCGCCGGGTCAGGCGGCAGCTGGGCCACCGTCTGGCGGGCCGGACCGGGCGTGATCTTGTTGGCGCGCATGAAGCCGAGGAACTGGTCCGGTATCTCTGCCAGCACCTCGCGCGCCAGCCGCGCGCGCAGCGTGACCTGCTCGCCACACAACAGCCCGTTTAGCGGCACGAACTGGACGATGTCGCGCTCAGCGGCGCGGCCGTTGTACGAGAGGCGCACCACGTCGCCGTCCAGTTCTTCCATAGCAGCGAAGTCGGCCGAGCCCACACCCACGATGATGATGGAGAGTGGGAGGCATGAGGCCTCCACGATCGCCTGCCGGTGAAGGGGAGGGGAGGGGGTCAAGAGCGAAAAACCGTAGTGCGACCGTCACGCAGGCCACGCGGATGTTTGTAAAAGGTGGACCTCACGGCTGAACTCACCATACACCGCACGCGCCACCTTGGATCGACTCAACATGTCGCGAAATATAACGCATTGAAAAGCGCGAATACGGAACGGCAGAGAAAACAACTGCGTTATGTACTACGCAACACATGTGAAGCATTATCAGGGGTGCGTTGCTTCCGCCGCAAGCTCCTCCCATGCGATTAACCATCTGTTTCTCAGCCAGGAGATGTCACTAATGTGGGGCAGCTTGTCCACATCAATTATCCCTCAGCTATAATCCTTTAAAAGGCATTCGGTTAACCGTCCGGCTAGCCTGCAACGTGGACTCAATTACTCCTCCCAAGGATGCTTGGACCAAACCCTCTCGTCCGCGCCCGATGTCAGATTTATGAGCGGGATACTCCGCGTTAAGTGCGGACACTGCTGTCATCTCTTGGATCTACCGTGAACTACAAAAATGAGTTCACAAATATCGAAACAACCACCTGGTATTTTTACCAATTGTTGTCTGGCAAGCATCGTATCAAAAAGTGAGTTTCGGAACAGGTCTGCTGGCTTTCTCTTTCGAGTTTGATGCTCAACGACGCAATATACGATAAGTTCTAAGAATCCTGCAATTGGAACATTGCAGAGGCCGTAGAATTAAGTCGGAGCCAGCAAAATTATTTATGCGTTCATACGAAGTTAAAAACTACATCTCGTGAATTGAAAAATATTCCGGGCGCTTTCCGCCCATTTTCTAGCCAAATTATGACATATTTGACGGTATGCAACAGGCAATGATAAGCAGCTTCATTCGGTGACAAGCGCGCAGTCACCTCTATGTCCATTTAAAATTTGGTTAAGATCCGGTGGCTGTATCCTCACTTCTTTAGCATGTTTACCTCTCATTCACTTAACGTTAGTAACGCACGCTTAAAGGCAGCGGCCCGCACTTGTATGGGATTTCAAAGTGAAAAAATTATAATGAAGATCATTCGGTGCAGTTCACAGTCCTGTCCTTCTTAAGACCTAAACCCCTCTAACTTCCGAGCTACAAGCCGGCCAAGATGTGCAGACTATTTTGCGGAGATTATTTCAAGGTTACTTAGGCATCCTTGACGCTATAATAACGTCATCGAAATATTGGTATTCTAGTAGGGATGCAGCGATCAAGGCCAATAAAAATAAACTGTCCAGTCACTCATATCTGGCCTTCGTGACCACGGCTTCCAGATATAACGGCCATCAATTAGCTCTCAATCAATGTCTTCCAAGATAACATCATCAAACAATGACGTAATGAGGAGCATATTTATTTAACATGCCAACTGTGTTGTCTATAGCAGTCTTTTCCATTTAAACGTGTACCAATAGTTATAAGTGAGTGTTTTTCATCATGCCTGACGTTTGTCTTAATATCTTCAAGTGTGAAACACTCCCTTTAACATGCCTAGGTTACGCACAAGCATTTCGGGTGCTGTGTTCCGCACCAAATAGAGCTGAACGGTTCTAAACATAGTAGAGATTTTCACGCACCAGCCCAACCATGTTGTTTTAGCCAGCAAACGTATCACCGGACAGCGTGCTGAAGTCGTTGGTTCAGGCGCGTGGCCTCACCTGCTTGGTCTGCGGCATGTCGGTGATGACGCCGTCGGTGATGATGAGCAGGATGAAGTACTGCGAGCCGTCACGGTATTGGCGCGCAAAGTTGGCCACGTGTCGGATGACAGGCGCGAAGTTGGTGGGGCCGAACAGCTGCACCTGGGGTAGACACCGCTCGTAGGCGTCCACAACTCCTGGCGAGACAGAACAAAACCAGTTCGAGTTACCGGCGCGGACCCCACAGTCGCAAGCGCACACAGCTCCAGCGACCGACCCGTAGAGGAAGAGCACGCCAGGGCCACCCCGACGCACACCGTCTGCTGAGGCCTGGTCGCCACAAGGACACGCTTCGTCTCAACGTTACAATGCTAAAAATCTCGACCGGGCTAGGCCACCACGGACCGCGCTGGAGCCTAGTACAGCCCACCATCGACATAAATATAGGCCAATCGCAAGCTCTCCACGGCTTCCACACGCCCAGCTAGTGGCCTCGCTTGGGGCGCCCCCAAAACAGCGCGTGCGATCGCCGTTCACACTTCGCACGTCAAACAATGCACATGTGCTTCGCATGTCAACCAGCGACAAATTCGGCAGCCGTCCCAGCTTGCCACAGCGAGCCACCCCCGTCCGCCAGCCGTTGCAGACCGCACCGCGGCTGTCACGCGCCCGTATCTGTGCGACGAGCGCTACCTCCTGCCGGCGTACCTTGCACCCCGTGGCAGAAGGGGCTGTCCGCATTGAGGTTGACGTAGAACTCGTGGCTGACGCGGCCGTCGGGCGGCAGTCGAGCGCCGAAGCCCAGCACGGGGAACTGCTTGTCGCTGTCGTAGTCCTGGATAATCTCTCCAACGGCCCGCAGCGCCGTCACGTACGGGTTTCTGATCGCGCCGAGCGCATTCCGCCGGGTCAGGCTGTGCAGCGAGTCCTCCGACTTTGGCTCGCCGTTCGACGCTGAAACCAAGCGGCGAAGTAAGCGCCGGTCGGCGGTGAGGTAAGTGCCGGCCATTGGCGAGGTAAGCGCCGGTCAGCGGCGAGGGTCACCGGCGAGGTAAGCCCAGGTCACAAGCGAGGTAAGCGCAGGTCAGTGGCCGGCGGCGACAGGCATGCCAGGCGGCGCAAACAGACTGAGACGCGGCCGCTTCTTCTGCGGCTCCGCCAGCAGTCCCCGCCTGACAGCTTCAGCCCGGCAGGCAACGAGAAGTTGGCCTAATATATCACGATATCCCAAGTTCGTTGACGGACTGTCAGGAGATCCGATCCGGAAATAAATCGGTTCGGTCATGCACTGTTCTCTTCGGCATCGGTTCCCGAGGTGCATTCCTGCGTGCCAACGCGGTCCTGCGGACACAGATGATGTGATCGAAAGGGCTACCCGCTATACGGCGCGTCGAATAGGGAGGAACGTGCCGCTCGGCCAGCCCTGACAAGGGATGGCCATCCCACCGTGGTGCCAATGACCAGGCAGCAACAGTCCACCCTGCCACACGTCCCCCAGCAGGACCACGAGTCTGGGAAGGGGTGGGAGCACTGATACACACCGGTGAAGTCGATAGCAATAGTGCAGGCCAGCTCGGTGCCGCCCTGGATGTAGTCAAGGAAGCTGTACACATGCTCCAGCCTCTCCAGCCGTACCACCAGGCGGCCCGAGTGCGTGTAGCGGGAGCCTTTCTTCTTCTGAAACACGGCGGAACGGCGTGGTCAGCGTGTGGACTATTGCGGCCGACCGCACACCGCGGTCAGCGGCCAGCGCACCGCCGCCACCTGGTGCTGGCGCTCGCAACCATAGGCGGTCACCAGTATGTGTAACGCTCATGAGGGATTGCGACTTTCACAGCGCATGAAAACGCGTTACAGAGTGAAGACTATCAGCATCCTAAAATCAGTCTGCGTTCCAGGAAGTTTTAAGTAAACTCTGCATGGTTGGTATCTACCAGTGCTTCAAATCAAACCTCATATCTATAATGGTCCCTTAAAATAGCCGCGGCTTCGTTGTTGCTGATCATGCAAAACGAGCTTTCCTTTCCTAGTCCTTGCTCTCGGGGTGAACTACCAGTTTGCCCTGCTTTTCACCGCAGCAAAAGAAAGCAGAACGGGAACTTACCACGATGTTTTAAAGCTAAAAAAAAACAAAAGCAGGAAAAGGCATACATTGATCGTCAGTTTCAAAATCTCTTCATGGCAGAGAGCGCAACGATCAGAGGACGGGAAAACAAATCGCTTCCGCCCCGTCTGCGACGTGCCGCCAAGGGATCTGAGCCAGAACGAGGACATTTGTTGAATATGACGTCAACAGCTGATAAGTCTGCTGTTGACGTAATATTCGACAAACAAGACTACTAACAAAAAATCAAGCCATTCTGAACGGCCGAACCAAGTTCCTTTCAATCACGCGTAACTCTGCGGATGAACTAAAAAAAAAAGAAGACCGGCGACGTGACCAGCGCAGCCCGTAGGCACATTGTCGGTGACAAGTCGCCGAAGACAACAGGTGGATATTCCCCAGATATTCCAATGGAAACCACAAGACAACGGGTGGATACGGGTGACCAGCGCAGCCCGTAAACACGTCGTCGGTGGCCAGTCGCCAAAGACAACGGGTGGCTACTCCCCCGATATTCCAATGGAAGCCACAAGACAACGGGTGGATATGGGTGACCAGCGCAGCCCGTGGGCACATGGTCGGTGACAAGTCGTCAAAGACAATGGGTGGATACTCCCCCGATATTCCAATGGAAGCCACAAGATACACAAACCATGCTGCATTTTACGGCCTGTGATTTCACAGATTTTTTTCCCCCATCTATCATTTGGCCAAGTATTTGAACAAAGTATATTTACCTTTTGTATTCCAAACGTACTCATTCTGCTCGTCCCCTAAATTCCGAGAACTTTAGAAACAAAAAAATATGACCACCTCTGCCAGCGTCACTTGATGTGTTATTTGTTCACCAATGTCCCTGTGAACAGGACGATTGTCATACTAACAAAAAACGCGTACCATGGTCCTGCCCCCCCCCTCCCAAAAAAAAATCTCCAACGTGTCATGAGAGCTTTGTTGCGTCTTTGCACTAGCAAAGCTCCCTTTGCACTTGCCCGCTCCCCAGGGGCACCTTCTCTCCCCAGTGGACGGTATTGAAACGAGGTCACTCCTGGGTGTGTTGTTCGCCCAGGCTTTCATGGCTCATGTCCAGCAAACAGTGTTGGACAGTGGGGACGCGGAACGACCATCTTTGCCGCCAGGTCGAAGAGATCCTTGGATACGTAAATGGACATCAGCACCTGCTGCAGCTTAAAAACCAACTAGAGCATCCCTCGGTGCTAGAATTTACCACCCAACTAAGTGTAAATAACAAGTGCAGATTTCCTGACACGTCTTTGGATTATAGCTGCAGACCCCTTACGACCATTGTCTACTGCAAACCGACGGACTAGGGCAGATGCTTGAACGTCTCGAGCCACTCTCGCGGCAGACACAAAGATACGGCCATAAAAGCTTATGTACACAGGGCGATTGAACATTGTTAATCATGGGAACTTGTGCATTTAAAAAGGTAGAGAATGAAGCAAATGTTACCCAACAACTACCCTGTTCATTTCATCGACATATACGCGACGCAATCACCAAACATGTATACGCCCGTACTGCCACTACTATAGACGGCACAGCCACAAACTGTGCCACACAAACAGATAAAACACTACACGTTACATGCCTAAAAGCCGATGAAAAGGTCGTCCGTCATTTGTAAGGAGACACTGTAAGCCAGCGTGCCCACGAGACCAGCCGAGGCTGATGATCTCTTACCAAAGTGCTACCACACGTTCCCCACGTGAAAAACAGCCTGACTCGTGACGCACCTCCACTTAAACAATCCAGTGTAATATACAGTTGCAACTGCCCTATCGGAGACTGTGCGTCTGCACAGTCTCCGACATGCCCTATCGGAGACTGTGCGTCTACTTAAGCAATCCAGCGTAATACAGTTTCCAGTGCGGCCGGGGTGAAGCGGCCCGCAGTCGTGCAGACAGCAGCACACGGCCGGACCTCAGCTACAGTGCGCATGAACAGCGACATCTGACGTGTGACCGCAGAACGTTTGACCGCCGCATTCACTTGGCACAGCTACTGGTTACGGACGCGTGCTCGGACCCACGATCAGACCTGGGCGGTTATCGCCGAGAGGTGGCCGGCCGACGGTACACCCAGGCAAGCGGATCACCACAGACCATCCGTCCTTCCCAAACTGACTGACCAACCCACCCACACCAGACAGTGCGGCTGGCTGAAACGTTTGGCGAGCGCGACAAGAGTCAGGCAGTGCCCAAGCCCCCGCGGCCCCGCGGCTGGCCGGTGCGGGTGGTACGACGTACCGGGCCAGTCGTCGTGGAACTGTCTCAGTTCCGGTCGTGCAGTACGGCGGCATCTGATCGGTCATGCGACATCTGCACTTTAAGCTAATCACGAGAGGCACTAACTTGTCCATTTCGTGTGTTTGTGCGTGCGCGCATTTTCCCGTCTGCCCACCATCAGCCAGTGCTTCTATCATGATCCGAGCATGATCCTTGCGAGCTAGAGCAATCTCACCGATACCCAATCGCACGGTAGCAGACGCACATACAGCACAGGCATCATCACTTACTGAATGCCGCTAGACCGCCGGTGCCTGCCAAGGCTGACCGGTGCCAACGGCCGGCCTTCCCTTGCCTGCGAACCACGACACCACGACTCAACAACACCGACCGGCGGTCAGCGCACTCTCGGCTGCGAGCCACAGGCCGCAGCAGATCTCCTGAAGCGGCACAGATCAGGGCGCCTGGCTGCGAGCCACAGGCCGCAGCAGACCTCCTGAAGCGGCACAGATCAGGGCGCCTGGCTGCGAGCCACAGGCCGCAGCAGATCTGAAACTGTGAGGTACTGTCGAGCGTGCCGATTGCACAACTCGCGGCGAACGGCAGCAGCAAACGCCGCGCGTGGGGAGGTGCCGGCCCGCCCGCGGGCAGGCGGCCTCGGGACGAGGTGGGGCCGACTCTGCTCACCTGTTTCGCTGGATGGATCAGGTCCAGCGTGCAGCCGCTGCCGGTCGTCCGCAGCTGGCGGAGTGAGAAGTGCGTCTCGCCGATCAGGCTGGGTGTGCCACTGCGGTTCCAGTCCCAGCAGACGGCACGGATGTTGCGCTCGTGGTCGCCGTTGCAGAGCGAGCTGACCGGCACCACCACCGTGCCCCATTCGGGATTGAGCGTGCGCTTCTTCACGTCCGTCCGCCACGACAGCACCCACTTGCCCTCTTCCGTGCACTTGAACAACTCGACATATGGGTCTGACTTGCCCCACCAGTCCTTCTTGTCCAGCTTGATGGCGTGGAACTGCAAGTGCGCGTGCTCTTTGCTGGAGATCAGTTCCTCGGCGTGCACGAGCAGCGTGCCGAGGCCGCCGGGCCCGCCCAGCAGCTTCAGTTGTGACGACCGCTGGCTCACCAGCTCACCGAGCGTGCACTGGCACCGCCCCAGGAAGTCGTGACGGCTGAGTTCCGGCGACGGCGCGTCCACGTCGTACACATCGAACCTGCCGGCAGACGGTGCACGTGAGGAAGACAGGGCGCGCGTGGACAGCTGGAAGACGTCAGCACTTTCAGGACGCCGCGGACCAAAAGAGCCCGGATTGCAGTCGATCGGACTGTACGGACAGCTCAGAGTTCACAGCATTGGCAGACAGCCTTGCGAATACTGTGGCCATTGGGCGAGTTACATAGGCAGTCTGCGTGATGAACACAGTCCTGCTGCGACTGTGCGACTGCGACTTAGACGTCTGCGGATGCGTGTGCATAAATGGACAAGCATCTACAGACGTCTAAGGACTATGGCAAGCGGGCAACATTCCCCACAAAACACAGAGGAAAAACCTTCACAGAAGTCAACATCATCACACCTCAAGCGCTGCTGCTCTTCAAAATGATACGTCACGACGACCTTTGTAGCGAAGTCGGGGTTGAGGTTGTCGTAGATGATCTCTGTGCGCTTGTACTCCTGCCATGCGTCGCTGCCGCCGGATGCCACATAGACCACTATGAATGGATCAGACTTGGAGAACACATCCATATCAGCCAGGTTCCTGCAGATAGTGAGGACATTTGAAACCAGGATCATCACTAGAACACTGCCCTAACAGTATGGGCACCCGACAGACAGAATCTGTTTCAGAAGATGTAAACCAGACATTTGGGTCCAAACTCAAATTTACAATGGCCTACCTTCACACTTATGGAAGGTCATGACACCTATGCACTTATGAATAAGATGCAGTCATGTGAATTTCACGCAAACTAAATGAGCAACTAGCAGCAAAAAGATAGTGAATAGCAAAATAGAAGCAGCAAAATGACCCCTATAGTCAACATGCCCAAAATATCCAAATATCACTCAAAACAAGTGAATAACAGCATATTTGAAACCTTCATCTTAGTTTACAGTTTAGACAGCTTAGCTGAGCCCATTGCTGCTTGTCCCTGGAGCAGATGCATGTGTCATAACATGCATGGAACAACCATTCAGCATTTCAAAACACATCCAGCATGTTATCCATGATGCAAATATAAATTAATGTACTTGAATCCTGGCTTTCCTGCAGCTTCCACACTGAACTTGTTGGTGGTCACCTGTTGCCCTTTGACACTCAATCCAGACATCTGACCTGCCCAGTCCAACTGTCAACCCTGAGAAGCTTAGGTGTTGGCATGACCCCTGCCTGGTTAGAAGCTGATTAGTCAATTTTGGGCAAGGTGAGGGGCCACAGGCAGCGAGCCCCAAGCTGGGGATGTAAAAGCATGCCAAATATTGACATCCATGCTACCCAAGGGGGCAAATATGGAAACACTGTAACTGTTACATGCCTTACCTGCATGACAGGGTAAGTTCAATCTGAGATGTTGGTGTTCTTGCCGAACCTCCAGAGAAAGTCTCCATTCTGGCAGTCTGTTACTCTACCAGACTGCAGCATGCAACAGGCTTGCTTCTGGCTGTGGTGTGTGGTGTTTCTTTTCCCTTTGATGCACCACTTGTCTGGAACCAACATAAAGCATTGATATTAGTCCACAATGTGAAGTGGTAGCCAAGATTTAAAACATTGAAATATTGTCACTTAACTTTACATAGGTATCAGAAACTGACTGTGGGATATAACTAAACAAAGTTATGACACCATTTTGGCAGTTGTGAAAGTTTGATACATTGAATATCTGCTTGATATAATTCATGATAATATTCACAAATACCAGAATATGCAACTTAAAAAACCAAGGCACAAATACCTTACCACAAATATTTAACTTGCTGATAATATACACTTGAATGACCAACCATGCAAACCTCTAATCAACAATGTAAAACTGCAGGGAGATCCAGGTACACAGACAGTCCAGCCAGGCTAAGAACAAGGCTCCATAGTTATGGAATCAGGCTTGATATCACATGTCTACAATTTCATACAGCAAGCCCATCACAACCTAAAACCAAAACATTTCCACCATTATGAATTCCAGTAACTGTGATACAGCTTGAATTTTAGGGAAACAAATACTGTTTTATGATGAAACTTTTCTGGCACATCAAGCTCATGACAAATTAAGGAAAATACTAACTCATAATTTTCTGCCACTAAGACAAACATGCCAAGACAAACAATCTACTGCCTAATGCATGTGTCAGTCATGGCTAACCGCCACTGGCTGATAGTTGCAAAGTATGGAGGTTTGTCTCTGCAAGGGCATATTTGCAAGAATGTGCAGAGGAGGGGCTTATCTACAAAACTTACACTGAAAATCCAATTTACCCTGTCACAAAATGCCCCCTTTGGTGGAACACACAATTTTGGGCTCTTTATTTTTAGGTCTTGGTCTTCTCTGAACTTAAAATGTAAACATTGATTCATGCACAAACCCACAAAAAATCCTTCCCGTGTGAGGCGCTTAGACCATGTGCTCGCAACGCTACATGTGCCAACTGTTGAACCTCACTCCCTTATGCACTGAACTCAGGCCAGGTCAAATTGTGCAGGTTTTCATACCAGTTGTTTGTTTTCGATCATATGCTTCCTAAAAGTACTTCTGCAATTAGGATCACTTGCAGCATTGACCCTCTTGGCCACCAAAATTGGTACCAAATGTGCAACGAGTTCTGACCGCTCGGATTAATGATCCATGTGCGACGAAACTGATCCCGTGATTTCGCTCATTTTCCGGATATGTCTGCCGTCACCCGTATCATTTCCAGTCTGGAATCGTTTCATCCGTTATATTCAGTACCCCACTTTTGCAGCCATTCAGCTGGTCCATGTGCAATACGGTGGAAATGCCGTTATGGCAGTTATGAGCGCATCTTGAGCATAATTGAATCCAATCATGTGTTATGTACATATTCTTCCTGCTACTGACTTGAATGCAAGTTATTTATTCCTCGTTCTAGTGAGACAGAACTAATGTTCGAGCATTGACTAAGAAATCATATCAAAACGGCAATCCAATGCACATGACGTCATCAAAACTCCCACAAGCGAGATCTACGCAACATCTACACAAAGTTCGTAGCTTGACGCAGGAAAGGCAATTGCAGCACGTAAATACCGCATAGGACTTCTCGACGCCAGCTCCAGCCGCGTACTGCGTAGCAACACGTAGATGATACGGTCTATTTTCCCAGGCAGGTAGTGGTTATTTAGTTCACCCACGCTCAGCCACTCCTGTTCACACTCCTTCCTCCGTAGGTGCGCCAATCAATCAACGTACTGATAGGCTCGCATGGCGCGTGTGTGTCTGTCTGCCACCACAGTCGTGTCGTTAAAGGGTATTTCCACGACCGTGGTCATGTGCGTGTGGACCGCGCCCATTTGTCAACATAAGTATTTGCTAATAGCCACGGCACTGTTTCGTTTGGCCTATGCACAAATGTTTAACTCGGCCACCCTTATGCAACTTGAGGGCTTCGCTGCTTGCATTTCTATCTGTGTCGGCCAGCTGATCGTGAGCACGCAGTGTCCACAGTTGCCAAGGCGTCATTCCGACAAATTTTGATGTTCTTCACCACGCTAATGTAGGACTCCCACCACCATGTTCCCCCATGCCAAAATGCTTTGCGCTGCTGAGCTCGAGGCGAACACTTACGTGTCTAACGCGTACCAACTGTCCTGCGTTTGTACTTGCGTGAGACGTTAACGCGCAGTACCACCCGCCCCGACGGACACCGCGAACTGAGTGAAGTGAGCGCTCTGCGTCGTCTCGAGCCGCTCGGTGACGCAACTGCGTGGGAAATCCCCGACGATCCCCGAAGCTTGCGGGAAGCGCCTGCATATTATGGTACGGATCAGGGTCGCCTCGATTCTCCATGAGTCATGTGCGCATGTGGAATGGCGTAACTTTCCATTGGACTTCCGTAACTCTTTCGTAACTTTCCAGACATCTGGACCAGATGCGTAGTTTGGCAAAATAAGTTGAGGGGGGTGGGGGGGGAATAGTGAAAAGTGGCCCAACCTGCAGCCCAAATGTGCCAGCAAACAGATTTTTCTCCTGTATTTCCCCATTTTCTTCCTTAAGTTGGATAGGGGCGGGGGCTGACGCCTGAAGTCATGGGGGAGGGGTTGGAACCCGCACACGTCGACGCCGAGGCTAGAGCGCACCTTTCACCGAGCTAGTTCACTTGTAAGTTATCCTTAGGATTCGGTTCACGCGGTCCCTGAATTATTCGAACAAAATTAGGCTTCTCGAAATAAAAAAGGCCAAATCTGATTTTGTTTACGTTCCATTGCACATGAAGCCCTTTACCAAGCTAAGCCACATTCCCTCTTCCTCAGACTGTCCGCGATGCTGGCATATTATTGTGCAATAGTGGATGATGCGTGCATTACGCGCTTGGGGTTCGGAGAACTCGTAACTCTAACGTAAGTCGCGCTGTTCCCCAAGGACGTACCACGCTACACTGCAGTCGGCGCCTGTTTAAATGACTGAACCAACATCACGTTTTCTCCATGCAGTTCAAATGATACATCCTACGTAGGTCACGCCTCGATCATCCTAATCATCCTTCTTATTAGCACTTGTGCTGATCATCCCTAACCGCCATAAGCTATCACCACCCGTACCCGAATCGTTGTATAAGGTGTTTAAACCCGAGCCCGCATTTTTATACGGCGTTTGCAAACCCGCACCCGAATAAACGACCCGCCATCCGAAACTATGGCATTGCCCTGGTACGTTTCCTTGCCCTGTCTTGGCGGAAGATGTTGCCGTTGGGCATCATTATCATTTTAGTTTGGCGTCGATTGTCGAAACCAGGTTTCGGTGATCGACGCAGGGTCGATGCTATGTGACTTCAGACGTTGTTGAACGTGTGCGGCTTTAAGAATGAGGACGGTACGTTTATGTGTGCAACTATTCAGTGCTGCCACGGAAACCCTTGGCTGGCAGCCGCGAGGCGGCCTGCGGGCTTCAGCGCAGCACTTGCGTTAGTCATGTTTGATGCGGCTGTTTTGGTAGTCACTGTCGTGCAGCCGCCGCTATCGGTTCAAATGGCTGTCGTCGATCCCCAAGTTTTCGTAACTTCTGTCGAATGTTCATGTCGAATTTAAGGCCGGCATATTTCAAGGGTTTTTTCGAACGTTGGGGGTCAAAAATTTGTTCACGCTTTGGGGTTACAATATTTGACCGGTTTATTTTCTATTTCCCATAAGATACCGTATCGCATCGCGGCAAAATATCGCAACTTGGTGCGGTTTGTGTATGTTTAAGCATCACTGAATGGTGGCAAAACACTCAGACAATAGCATAAAACTATATCAGAGGTAAAACTCAATCGTTCAGTTAAAAGCATACATCATGCCAGAAAAAACAAAATACCCAACCAAATACGGCACGAACGCGGAGCATTTACAGTGCGACTAGATAAGTCAACTGCATTCAACTGAACAGGACTTCACAGTTTTTATTTTACTCGTTCCTTTGTTCCTTTTGCCCCTGAAGCAATAATTAAAAGCCTATAACATTGATATCATTTTTATTTCCAATTTTTAATGTCCCGCTTGCACTCTAGCTCCAAAGGTTTGGGGAGGGCAAACCCACCGTTGGGCACAGCCAAATCGGACGTTGGGGGGGGGGGGGGGGGCACTGGTCCACCCAAAAGAACACAGATCGACACCTGTGCACGAGCCAATCGTAGGATAAGCCGCGAGGTGAGCCGGCTCGTTTTGAAAAATGCTGCTTGGGCGATGGGATGAACCTCATTATTTGTAAATTTCATGAGCTGGATCGTGAGCCGATCATTTCTAATAATGTCGCGTCAGTGAGCCTCGGAGCGTAAATTAAATGGTAGCATGATGAAACACGGCACGCTCCAGACTAATGAACAGGCTATTTCAGAACGCTAAAATGAACAGCACAAGCACTTGGTATAAAGCTGTTTTTTTGTGTTGCAAATCAGCAGTTTGCCATTGTCATTTCTAAGCAGGAAGTGCAATATTATTCATTCTGACCTAATTTTGCCAAACCTCAGCCAGGAACCAGGGGATATCGCATGCTGCAGACACCCGGTGCTCTCCGAGTAGACCACTCACTTTTCAGGTATCCAAAACAACAGGTACCAATCATAGGATTCTCTTGAAAGCTGGACCATGACTTATTTGAAGGATATTGTTTCGGAAAATGATGCTTCGTTGTCTTAAATGCAGTTATACGCTGTCTACATTAGAAATCGCGGCGTCGGTTCCGAAGCCGTCTTTTCGCACCGCCAGGGCTGTTGACGGGTGCCGCACATCTTCTCAGGGAAGTATGGCTCGTATATAAGCGTGACAATTGATGGTGACGTCAATGCCCAGCGAATGTGCTTCTTTATCTTGTATTATGTAATGTTGATGGCGTCACTGGAATGTGAAACAATGGCTGCGTTTTCAAAAGAGCTGAAACCATCCCAGCGAGTGATTATTCACGGGCGCAACGATCTTTGCATTCATGATCACTGTCAAGAGCTTTGGTTGGCGTCCCAGATATGCCAAATGCATGCAAAACACACGAAGCCTGCAGGGAGGTGTAACGCGCTCGCATCAACATATCTTCAGGACCGGGCCGAAAAAGAACGGAGGGGGCCGGATAATATCGGAATGCATCGAACTGCGGCTACAAAGGTCACATGAGGCTGGTACTGGGGCGGCGGTACCGAAATATCAATTTGTGTCAAAGTAACAAAATACCGAGTTTGCGAAATATATCGGTTCGGAGCCTTCAACGTGGGAGATTTGGGTGAAATTCCTGGCTGACACTATGGATTATGAGCACTTGTATGAACACCAGTCGCTTGCTCGCCTTGAAGTGGGACTGGGAAGTGGGAAGTGGGCTGGCCGGTTCGTTCCAGTTCGGATCGGTTCGAATGGGGCGGAAGAGGGACAAAGCAACCAATTCAGGATCGGAACAGCCCTGCCTAGGCTGAGCTGGACCTGATCTGAACGGACTGCACTAAGTTGAAATGAACTGGAAATGAGTGCAGACGGCGTGCTGGATAGGATAGCAAAAATCATGCATGAACTGGAGCAAAACAGCTGATGTAGATGACGGGATACGTGTGAAACGGGCATGGGCAGACTGGGCCGGACCACACCGGGGTTGGCTCCAGCAAACTGGGCCTGAAGGGACTGCGCTGGGATTGTATTGGAATTGAAACATATTTGCAAACAGACCAGACCGGACCGGAACAAGACAAATGGGCAGGGGAGTGGGACAAAGGTACCCGACTTGGATAGACAAAATTGGACTGAACTGGGCCGTGGTGCAACCGAACGGACGTCAGGTGAACATAAAGAACTGCAAGGTCCCGTACGTGACTTAAACGAGCCGCGCATTTTACGGCTCATTCTATGGACGTTTCCAGATCAGGCATTGGCTCAATACTAGCAAACTGCACCACAATATATGATTGACACAGCTGATAAGCTGCTCAACACGTGCAGGATGAATGGCTCGGCTTGGACATATAAAGTTAGGATGCCAACGAATGACGTCACACGTCAGGTCCCCATAAGTAGCTGATATGTTCGTTCCGAGCACATGGTGCCCAGAACAGTCTTCTTCGACCACCGGGAACTTTTCAGGAAGCTGAGCGCTCCACCCCGGATCTGCTATGCCGGGCCACAACTACCTTCACGGGCTTGTTTTGTTTTAGGCATGTTTTCCAACAAGGAGGGAGTTAGCATGAAAGCATGGAGTGTTGCTCGGTCGAGGGAAACACATTGTGCGCCATTGCCGGCTTTTGTAGATTGATCTGCCGTTCCACACCATGTCATTCACACACTTCTGAGCTGAAACTAAAACCAAATATTTTGCAATATTGGTCTCAATGACATTGTATTACATTGAGACGTGAGCCATGATTCGGTGTTTCCTTTTGCTAAATTTTATCCGAATGCCCTTTTTCGATCAGCACCACATAATTTCCCGGATACGTTACTGTGGCCCCATAAATATCAACACCGTTCTCTTACCGAAGTTAACACTGGCATTGCGGTTTTTTCAAATCAGTTCTGCCATTAGACACGGCTACTGTCAGCCATGAAAGAAGAGCATGACTGGTGGGCGAGGATGCTTCTCATTCCTCGGCGACAACAAATAACTTCGATGACCTATGTTGATTTACGCCGAACGTGTTTGGTTGACGTGGTACGAATGGTGTATATGCAGTCCTAGTAATGTAGGCTGGTGAACTCACGTAGAGATAAGCTGAAGAGGCGCTGTTTGGAGGGGATATGATCATGGAGAACGAAATGTCATTTAATTTGATGTAGTCAACGAAATGGCCTGAATAAATTTTGTTAAGCTTTGCGTGAGCCATCAAATGACAATTTTGAAGGTTTAGGTGTGTATGTCGCATGATCTGTAAAGAATTGCGTGTACGCGAGATGGCTCCAGTATTCGAAGCGTTGCTAAGAGTCAGATCGGGTCAGGTGTATGGCCAGAAGATGTTCGTGCGCTGTTTCCTCTCCGGCTTTGAGGGCTTGCATTGTGCAGCCGTTTTGCAGTGACTTGGAGAGATAAAGCTATGATTACGAGGAATGCTTCGCTCATTTGTCATCACTCTGCACGACATTTGAGCAGGACTTTGAAATGTCCGGTTTGCGATTCCCTGAAGAGAGTCTCAGTTTAAGTGGCTGTCAGATGAACGATGTCGTCTACCTCTAAAGCGTCTACGCAATGCGGTTCTTCATAGCTGCAGTAAGGGAAACAACACTATCACACGACGCTTCGTTGGTCTCGAAGGCTCCTTCTAATCTGA